TTCCTCGGTTGTGTATATTTTCCTTGAAGTCAAAAGCTCGTTTGACTATTCCTAGATTTTTTTTATTAATGAAGCTTCCAATTGTTGTCAGTGGCGGACCTATAATTTGTTGGGTCCTGAAGCTTAAACTGTTATGAGGTGGCCACCCTTCGCCTCCAGTAACGAGGCCTGGGTAACCACTGCGACCTTTAATGGGGTTGTTCCACATGGGAAGTTGATTGATGCATTTTTTCTCCGTTTTGTGGCTGGTTCTTCGGCGGGAAGTTTGTGAGTCTTGGTTGGTTCCTGCCCGCCAAACACACGACGAAACTACAACGTTGCTGCAACGCTCGAACAAGTGTTAGCACCTAACAAGTTGTAACAACTAATATAGCAAGTTGTAACAACGTTCTAATACGTCATAAAACGTTATAACAAGATGTAACAACTTTATTAAAAGTTGTAACAAGCTGAAAATAGGGACAGTTACGTTGTTTGCAGAGCGGTGTGCCCACCTCAGGTAAATTTAGCCATTTAGCTTTTTATTTGGTCAGCCACTGGACGCCTGACGCATCGTCGTCTGGGGTCTCTGGGTGTCAACAATCTTCCAGTTATAATAATAATAATAATAATTTTTATTTAGGTAAAGGTACATACATAAAGAGATTTTACAAAGTTTGTTGGCTTTATAGATAGAGTTAGTACATACAATGCCTAAAGCCACTATTACGCAAAGCGTTTCGGGCAGTTTATAAACGTTCCGAAGAACCGAAAGTTGTCTTTCTGTGTGGGGTGGATGCTGTCTCTTGGCTTCCTGGGGGACGCCATTGTGTCAGTGAGCACCTGCCATGGTGTGTATTTATCTGCCATAAGGCAAAGCAATCTTTTTCCTCGTCACATAAACATCCGGACTTTTTCCGGATGTTTTCCTGACTCACGGGAATGACGGGGTACATACAGCCCTGTGCTGTCACTGCCCCAACTCTTACATCAACACTGAACTCTTGGAACAACCCTGAGTGTCTGTAGTAGACATCCAGACATTTCTTCCACCTGGAGACCACTGGTTAATGGGACCACATTATCGCCCTTTGGGGCAATAATGTAATGTAAAGTTGTAATTTCAAACGCCAAATATGTGCAGTGAGTCAAAATTCGGCTAAAAAATATCGCTCACTAGTCAGATTTGCGATATTTCCGATATTTTGAAAACAGCAGGGGGGGTTTGGGCAAAATGTGACCCCATCGACCCCACTCCCATCGGGAGTGGGAGCCGGTCGGCCGAGCGGACAGCACGCTGGACTTGTGATCCTGTGGTTCTGGGTTCAATCCCGGGCGCCGGCGAGAAACAATGGGCAGGGTTTCCTTCACTCTATGCCCCTATTACCTAGCAGTAAAATAGGTACCTGGGTGTTAGCTGTCACGGGCTGCTTCCTGGGGGTGGAGGCCTGGTCGAGGACCGGGCCGCGGGGACACTAAAGCCCCGAAATCATCTCAAGATAACCTCAAGAAGATCGCCGTTATCACTTATTAGCTAATTTTAAGTCTAAAAATTCGTAATTTCAAACTCCAAATATGTGCAGTGAGCCAGAATTCGGCTCAAAAATAGCGCTTGAGTCAGATTTGCGATATTAACGATATTTTGAAAACTTGGGGGGGGGCAAAATGTGACCCATTAACGTTTTCACTAATTGGCATATTTTTGGTATAAAAAGTCGCAATTTAAAAATAAAATATGTGAGTGAGACAGAATTCGGCTCAAAAATAACTGTCATAAGATTTGCGATATTTCCGATATTTTGAAAACTGCAGAAGGGTTTGGGCAAAATGTGACCCATCGTCGTTTTTACTAATTGGCATACATACAGTATAAAAAGTAGTAATTTCAAACTCCAAATATGTGCAATGAACCAGAATTCGGCTCAAAAAAAACTATCATGAATAAGATTTGCGACATTTCCGATATTTTGAAAAATGCAGGGGGGGGGCAAAATGTGACCCATCGTTGTTTTCACTAATTGGCATATTTTTGGTATGAAGATTCGCAATTTCAAACAACAAATATGTGCAACGAGCCAGAATTCAGCTAGAAAATAACGTTTATGAGTCAGATTTCCGTTACTTCTGATATTTTGAAAAATGCATTGGGGGTGGGTGGGTTTGGGCAAAATGTGACCCATCGTCGTTTTCGCTAATTGGCATTTTTTCGGTATAAAAAGTTGTAATTTCAAACTCCAAATATGTGCAGTGAACCAGAATTCGGCTAAAAAATAACGCAAAAACGGGTTTGGGCAAAATGAAAATCGCCGTTTTCACTTATTAGCATATATTAGGTCTAAAAAGTCGTCATTTCAAACTACAGATATGTGCAGTGAGCCAGAATTCGGCTAAAAAATAACGCTCATAAATCAGATTTGTGATATTTCCGATATTTGGGAAAACTGCAGAAGGGTCTGGGCAAAATGTGACCAATCGCCGTTTTCACTAATTGTAATATTTTCGGTATAAAAAGGTCGTAATTTCAAACTGCAGATATGTGCAGCGAGCCGGAATTCGGCTAAAAAATAACGCTCATTAATCAGATTTGTGATATTTCCGATATTTTGAAAACTGCAGAAGGGTCTGGGCAAAATGTGACCCATCGCCGTTTTCACTAATCGGAATATTTTCGGTATAAAAATTCGTAATTTTAAACTCTAAATATATGCAGTGAGCCAGAATTCGGCTAGAAAATAACGTCACGAGTCAGATTTCTGTTATTTCCGATATTTTGAAAACTGCAGGGGGGTTTGGGCAAAATGTGACCCATCCCCGTTTTCATTGCCATATTTTCGGTATAAAAAGTCGTAATTTCAAACTATAAATATGTGCAGTGAGCCAGAATTCGGCTAGAAAATAACGCTCATGAGTCAGATTTCAAATATTTCCGATATTTTGAAAACTGCAGGGGGTTTTGGGCAAAATGTGATCCATCGCAGTTTTCCCTTCTGAGCATATTTTAGGCCTAAAAAGTCAAAATTTCAAACTTCAAATATGAGCAGTGAGCCAGAATTCGGCTAAAACATAAGGCTCGAGAGTCAGATTTGGGATATTTCCGATATTTTGAGAACTACAGGGGGGGGGGCAAAATGTGACCATTGCAATTTTCACTAATTGGGATATTTTCGGCATTTTTATTTCTCTTTTTTGTCTTAATTTCTCTCTCTCTTTCTTTTCTCTATTTTTTCTCTTTTTCTATAGTTTGCTCTCTTTTTTTTTTTTTTTCTTTTCTCTCTCTCTCTCTCTCTCTCTCTCTCTCCTTTTGTCTCTTCTCTTTCTCTCCCTCTTTCGTTAACTCTCTCTTTTCCTGTTTTTCTCTCTTTCTATCTTTTGCACTTTCAATAATATTTGAAAAATATGAAAAAGGCATATTTTCGGTATAAAAAGTCGTAATTTCAAACTCCAAACATGTGCAGTGAGCTTGAATTCGGCTAAAAAATAACGTTCATGTGTCAGATTTCTTAAATTTTTAAAACAGCAGTGGGTTTCGGGCAAAATGTGACCCATTGTCGTTTTCACTAATATTTTGTCGTACAAGTTGTAAGGCATTAGCATTCCAATTGAGTCTCGTCGCTGGACAAACTGTTGGTTGTTGTCAAGTACCACCATTCAACAAACACCTGCCTATCTATCATCTAATTTTGTTGTTATTACGACTTGGTACATTCAATCAAGCCTAAATGAAGTAGATAAACCTCTAATCAATCATGGTCCATGGTGTCCGGACACTAGGCACCAGGGTGTCTGGACACTAGGGCCATTGTCTCTGGACTCTAGGCACCAAAGTGTCCGGACACTAGGTCCATGGTGTCCGGACATGTCCTAAGTATGGGCAGCAAGCCAGAATTCTGGTCCAAAATAATGCTCACGAGTCAGATTTCCGATAATTTGAAAACAGCAGGGGGGGGGTGGCAAAATGTGACCCATCGTAGTTTTCACTAATTGGCATATCTTTGGGATATAGTTTTAATTTCAAAACTCAAAATACATGCTTACAAAACCTCACATAACATAACGTAACGTCATTCCCTCCAAAACAACTCTACATTGCAATGATCGACCGAGGACTTGAAGTAAGTCTATTAAAGCATTCTATATCAATTTCATTCGTTATTATTCGTGAATGTGTGCATCCATTCCTTAAATCAAATACCTGTATATAAATATCCATTCGTGGTGTTTAGAGAGGTAAATGAACCATTGCAAATCTAATTACGAAATTAGCTTTCAAATTGGAAGTGCAGGTGGCTGGGCAAACTGACGTTGTGTTGACGTGAATATTATAGGTGAATGTCTGCATCCAGTGCTTAATTCAAGAATATAAATATACATTATTGGTGTGTTAAGAGGTAAATGAAGCATTGCAAAGCTAATTAAGGCACTAGCATTCAAACCGAGACTCGTCGCTGGGCAAACTGTCGGTCATTGCCGAGTACATGTACCATTATTCAACAAACACCTGCCCATCATCTAATTTCATTGTTATTATACCTTGGTATATTCAATCAAGGCTAAATGAAGTAGATAAACCTCTAATCTTCATGTGTATTCATGTAATTGGTGCATTAGAAAGCACACTAAGAAATTCTGAGTGATATATTCGTCAGCCAGACCCATAAGAGAAACCCCACGCAATCAATGGGTAAATATTATTACTTTTCTTCTCGATCATAGTAAACCGATTGATTTACACTTTGTTTATACAATGACCATGTCACATTAAATGCGAAAAAACTACCAAATCCACCCCTCCACTAAATGCAAACATAGCGACACAATATCCTTCACTCTACACCATTTTAAAAATATGTTTAAAAACAGTTTTGTTGCTTACTAACACTTCATATGAAGATGGTAATATGCCAGTTGACCCTTAAATGTTAAGGGTTGCATGCTATGCCATGACCTTCATATGAATAGGGATAGGGTTCAAGAGAGCCATTCCCCTGGGACCAAAAATATAAGAGGTTATGAGAATATCATGACAGTGCCACTTCATTTAATGATATGCCACCAAAATTGCTTTAAAATACATTAACAGTGATGGGTTTTATGTAAGGCTTGACAAAAATATCAAAGAAATAGAAATTAACAAATAATATGTGCAGGTATACATATTAGTGATATTTTAATATATTAAAACAATATTAGAAGGTTGATTATAGGCTAGAAAAATGGGCAAGTGGAGAAGCAGAGAATAAGTTGAAGCCTCAACTTCCCGTGACACTCTGAGCCAACTTTCTAGAAACTCTATCATGGCTACCCTACTCATGTTCGTTGGGTTGAGTCCTCGAAGAAATAAACACTGTAAAGAAAGAAATATTTGATGTCAATTATTTACTATCTAATTATAGAATATTACAAATAATTGCAGACTTTCATCATGAAGAATATAAATAGAATCAACATCAATATAGGTTTGCATGAAAAATTAACAGCTTAAAATGTGATATTCCAGCAAGAAAATATTGGGTTATTTCTGAATTTGCATTTTATATTATTCAGAGTAAAAAGTTCCACAAGTTTGCAAGGAAGTTGAAGTGGCTGCAAAAAAATCTAGCAGATCCAAAATCTGTATAGCTTCCCAGGGGTCCACTTCAATGCATGATGGGGAGGGGGGGAGGGAGGGGGGAGGGGGAGGGAGGGGGGAGGGGGAGGGAGAGGAGGGGGATGGTAAGGGGGAGGGAGGGGAGGGGGATGGTAAGGGGGAGGGAGGGGGGATCATGGCTGCAGATAGCGTGACAGTAGACACTAATTCACAAAAGGGGGATTTAGGGGATCATTCCAAACAAGGAGAGAGTGGGGAGTCACAGGAGCTCGAGTTGGGTGTGTACAAAGACAACGAGGCCAGTTTTGGAGTCGCACCCATAAATATGTGATGCTGAATCTCTCTCCAAGATCAAGAGGCGTACAGGGTGATCTAGGTAAATTCCAAGCACTCCAGTATCCATTGCTTGTCGACTGATGGTAGCAGGAGTGTGGCTGCCGAGGTTGGCTGTTTGTTCTGTCAGGGAGTGGTTAGGGACGTTGTCCGCCTGTACACAAGTAACAGTCGGCTGCAACACCCAGAGCTTCCTTCTGAGGTTCAAATCCCTAACCCCCTCCCAATACTTTGTTTACAATTATTAAACAGTTAATGAGCTCCGAAGCACCAGGAGGCTGATCATAATAATAACAACAGTTGACTGGGAAGTTTTCATGCTTGTAAAGTTTTTAATAAATGTAACCAAAGGCGTCAAAGATTGAGGAAAGATATACCCATTCGTAAGTACTGTACTTGCATAACTGCTTTGTGAATCTGACTCCTGGAAGCAAGGCTTTAAGAGATAAATCTAGCTCCCCATAACCAGTGACAGGTAATCATGTAAATGATATTGGCTAAAGAGAGCAACTAGGGGATTGTGAACCTCACCAAAATTTTTTATATAGTATGGAAAATACATAATGGATAAAAATTAACATTAAAATCTGCCTACTGATTTCAGTTGGTCATGATCCAGTGAATCAATCCCTTCCCTTGATATTGCTGCATCCATGCAATGCAGTATATGTGCATGGTCCTCCAATCGACGACGTCGCCTCCACCAAACTGACCGTCCATGGAGTCTCAGCAATCCATTCTGCAAGTTATTTACATTACTAAAATGGGTGATAATTTGATTTATTGCAAAGTTTAAAATACACGTAAGAAACTCATCAGGAAGAACTGTTCCTGATCTGGACATGACCACTACATACAATCACCAATTGGTAAGCAGACAGAACAAAAATCACACTGTGGTTGTATGTGTATACACACACGCACACATAATATATATATATACCAGTACATATATTACAGTATATATATGAATGTGTATATGAATGTAACAAATTATTTTATCAATGATTTTAGCATGACGTCTCTTATATTTCTTATGCTCTTCACTTAGGAAGTTAAAATATACTCTCCAAAAGTTTATTTTACAAATTGGCCTCATGCAAGACGATTGGTTTCACTTAAATTTTCAACATCCTCAGAGGCAGAGAAGTGTATACAGATGAACTAAAGCTACAGTATATATAACAGCGTAGGATGAGGTGTGAACTGTTATCCAGTTGATGTTAGCTGAGACAGTAGGTGAGGTATGAGCTGAATATTTTGTCTTGGTTGTGAGGATGTATGATGTAAGCTATCTATTGATAGCTGAATGAGTGTTTGATATGTAGTGCTTTCCTAATCAGTCTAATCTTCTGTGGTTATTGTTGTATCAATTAATTATATTGCTGTTGTTGGTCAAGATCTCTCTGGTGATAGTCTGGTTTGTGTATAGAAATGATGTAATCTTTGTGCATAGTCAGATGCCTTGAAAGAGATGTAGTTGTCTTCCCTATACAGTACAGTATATTGAAATACAGTAGTTGGGACTGACCGTCCCCAGGTGCGAATGTAAAGCATAGATGACATTTGTTTCTTTCACAGCGGCATTTCACTTGGTGTCAGGAGAGTTCTTTGTTAGCAAGTTGACAGTCTTGTGGTTCTTGTAGTAAACTGTGAACTATGTCTTCTGGCTAGTGTCAATAGGGGTCACATTTCTTTATGAATTTCACGACTTTTTCCACTATTTTATAAGCCATTGAAAAGAAATTTCTTTAGAAAAGTTTAATATATGGGACAGATTCTGTCCCTATGAACAACGACCATAGCTATGAGCAAAAGCTAGAGATGTTCAATATAGTAAAGCTAGGAGATAGTAGGAAAAAGGGGATATAATTACTATGACCAAAATAGTAACAGAAATTGACAAAAAGAGACAAAGAAGAATTTTTGAAACCTGCAACTTCAAGAACAAAAGATAAGATTCAAGCTAAGGAAACAAAAGGTGCCCAAAAATTAAAAGAAAGTTACCTTTTTACAAACATAGTAGTAGATGGTTGGAACAACTGTGGTGTGGTGGAGGCCAAAACCATCAGTAGTTACAAAGTGTCATATGACAAAGATTATAGGGAAAACAGGATACCACGACCATAGGTCTCATCCTGTAACTACACTTAGGTATTTAGACTTAAGTAATTGCCAGGCACATGATTGGCTGGTACAGCTGGCTGGGACCCTGAGATGCCAAGGTTGCTATCTGGTAGTAAGCGAGTGTTGCCAATTAGTGGTTAGTACTGGACAAACGTGTGTACATAGTTTGCATCAAGGTTACTAAGATTTTTCATGCTTGTTATGGTGCATTCTACCTTTCTGGTGGGTTATTTGTTCAGCCTGGATTGATCTACATATCCCCCAAAATTCCCTTTGCCTCTTTTCAGGGGCCCAGGTCCTTGTACTAGTCTCTGGTAGGCACTTATGATTTGGAAGAGCCTGGGGAAGGGGGGTGCCTAAAGCTTGGAGGTATCTAGGTCGGTGGCATGGGAATCCATTTAAGGTAGCCCACTCGGAAAAAAACACAAAACTATTAAGTAAGACCTGGAGTTATAGAATGAATTATATAATATGCACAGGTTATGTAGCAATTAAACATTCCCAAAAATGTGCATGTCCAGCATTAACATCCCAGGACCATGTTCCAATGAACTACAAATGGAGGACAAAACTCACGAAGAGAATCACCACTGTCGAGCCACTAAGTGAGTGAGCACTCTGTAATGTCAGGTTGTTACAGAATCCCGAGTCATACAATGATTCGTACCCATGTACACAAAACATCCACTAAAACTAGAAGCCCACTCTACAACAAAATCAAAATCTCTATCAACATAAATCACTTATCTAAACAGTCTTGGTCTCAGCCACCCTGTTGGACTCATGGAAGAGCCAAGAGAAATAAGAGATACGAAGCATCAAGATATTTTGTTGACATGTAGTTGCTGACATCAAGTGGTATTTGAGGGTAGTTTGAAATCCTGCCCGAAACGCTTTGCGTAATAGTGGCTTTAGGCATTGTATATACTAGCTCTATCTATAAATTCATCAATGTTTGTATCTCACCTTGTATGTATGTACTTTACCTGAATAAACATTTGATTTGATTTGATTTGGTAACAAGTGGTGAGCCAATTAACAGTGTGCTTGTTGGTGATCTCTTTTTATATTGAATAGTGTTTGAAAGGGGGGGGGTTGAGAGTAGGTGAATGAACTTTGTGATAGTCATTTTTGGCTGGATACTTTTCAAGGGAGATACCATCTCCCTTGCCTTATTATGATCCAGTGGGAACATCTGAAAAGATTCAAATTGTAATGGGACAAATGTTGATCTGTCCTTAATGTGCTTAGTCTTGTTCTTGAGAGGACACTGTCTAAGGAAGTCAGAATATAACCTATTATGCACATTTTAGCTGCATAAATATTAACATAAATAATAACATAAATGGTCTTACCACATGGGTGGAAAATATCCTGTTGATGTGGAAGGGTTCTTCTTTAAATACTGGTAAAAGAGAGACTATTTCATCAACAGTTGGATGAATTCCAGAACCCAGTTTATAAAATGCTGTTTTGCATTTCTCTTGATATTTTTCATCAGCAATTGTATAAAGAGCAGCTTGTAGTGATCTGCAAAGTTCATAGTTCAATGTCAAGCAAATCGAGAGGAAAAGTGCACAAAACACAAAAATCCAGTGTAGAATGTAATGAAATGCATCCTTTTGTTAGGTTCTTTCAGTGGCTTCCCGATGCTACCTGCCTCGTTAGATCCAAGCCTAATGCACCCTATGAAGCCTTTACGAGTTATAAGTACATACAAGAGACCAGGACCAGATTACTAAAGCTAATAAATAATTTCATGTTATCAACCCATACATGATAACTTAGGAAATAGGGACTATAAAAATTAAAAGACAATCACAAAGACAAAGCTTAGACAATAAACAACTAGTGTTGAATATAATGAAATGCCATTTTCTGGGTGAGACCTGGAGGCTCCCCAGAGCTATCCAGGCTGATATGTATTTACTTTATTAGCTTTCTGGCATCAGTCAATGTGCATAGAGTTCTTGCCTATCAGGAGACTACGAGCCAGAACCTGGCCCCCCCTCAGCGAGGCATGAGGAACAATGGCCTAAAGAAACCCCCATGTGGTTGGAAGCATTCTATGCCTGTCATCAACCAAGTCTGGCACCCAAAAAGATAGGCATTCCAAAACAAATTCCTATTCTGGTGAAAATATTGCTACCAAAAGCCGAACGAATGGACAGAACTCCCCAAATGAAAACTAGCAACTAGCATGATGTCATCACGTTGCCACGCCGCTGTCTGCACACCCCCTCTCCCCAAGTCACCCGAAGCGATTAGCCCCAAAGAGCCAAGAGCCATTGAACTCCCACGGTTCAGGCAATGAACCACCTGGGAACTGTTCGAATGGAGCCGGATCGTCGATCCGTGAGCAACCCGAATCCTCTCGCGCAACATCCACACACCCGCGAACTCCTGCACTGTGTTGCGAGCCCGAAGGAAGGACGAACCGCATCATCCCTGGCTGGCTTTGTGAGTACTGGTCACAAAGCTCCAGCCAAGAGATGACACGCCTGTGAACACATTGAGCGAGGGCTCGGGTAGACGCTGAGACACTGAACCCCGAAAAAGCCTAAGAGGAAGCCGGCAATCCAGCAACTAACGCTGCAAAGAGCCCCTGGAGGCTGAACTCAGCGGGCGCAAGAGAGGCAGAAGGGACGTCCCCAAAGAAACCAGAACAGCTGACGAAGTCACACCCGAACCAGCGGGTAGACCATCATGGCAAAGTTCAGGCTCCCGCACAAACCCTTGAGCAACCTCCGCATGACCCGGGAACCCCTCAAGAATAGATGAAGGCAGGAACGCAGCTAAAGCAGAGCTGCCAAAGGAAGAGACAAGGAAGCGGTCCGAGCGTCTCACACAAGACCCAGCCAAGACTGAACCTGAGAGGGAACCAGATGGGACTTCCGCCAGTTCACCAGGAACCCGAACCCGGCAAGCTGGGAAAGAACCAAATCCCCAGCGAGCAGACGTCCAGACTGACTGGGAGCCCAAACTAGACAGTCGTCAAGGTAGGCCAGAACCCAAAAACCTAACAGACACAGACGGGCCACCACAACCCGAGTAAGGCGTGTGAAAATGTGTGGCGCCAGATTCAAGCCGAATGGAAAACAACGAAAGCAGTAACCTTCATGCCCCATAACAAAACCGAGCCAGTCCCTGAACCTCGGATGAATCAGCACATGCCAATACTCGTCCTTGAGGTCCAGGGACATCATGCATGTGTCCGACTCCAACAGGAGACGGACTTGGGACCTGGGTAGTCATCCGAAAAGAGGGGGCAATAAACTCACGGGTTCAGACGGGACAAGTCCAGAATGAACCAGAGGTTCGTGCAGTCCCATGTCAGGACCCGAGACAGGCGGGAAACCCACCTGAGGGATGAGGTCGTTTCGACCACATCCAAGTGAACCCACTCCGAGATGACCCGACAGAGCAAAGGAGAAGAGGCCTGCCTTGCCAGCTCCAAACCCCCTGAAGGAGGAAGAATCACCCAACGCTACTACAGGCTGCACAAGATGACCCGAAAGGCCCACAAATCGTGGGACCATGCGCGAGCAAACAACAGGCCATGCTAAGGGAAGCCCAGGCAGGGTACAGCTAACTGGTGCCCCAAAACTACCAAACAAAACTGCTAAAAGCTGCACCCCTGATGTACACTTGTGGGGGCCTAGCAGAGGACCACCGAATAACAATAGGGCACCACCAGCCAAGAGGCAGACTCCCTACCAGGCAACAAAAACAAACAGAAAAAGAACAGAAAATTAGCTGCACTGTATCCTGTGCCCCAACTAGTGACGAAAACTACTCCTACCCAAAGGCAAACAAGGGCAAACAAAAAACCCCAGCTGACTCCAAGGGCGGCCAAGTACCAAGCAGTAAAAGACACAGTGGAGATAGATCCCAAGGGCGGCCAAGTACCAAGCAGTAAAAGACACAGTGGAGATAGATCCCAAGGTGACCTGTGGAAGGTGGCCCTAAGCCCTAAGGGCAGTACTTACAGGGCACCTAGGGAAGCTAACTCTAGGCGCATGCAGCCCGAGTACCGAAGAATATTACTCCTGGCTCACACACCACCCATAGAGACAGTCCACACCACAAGGCAAAGAAACAAACATATTCTGGAGCCAAAGGTACACTACCTGCCAGTACCACATCAGCCAAGAACTGAAGGGTGGATCACTGGCACGAGGGTTGTGCTCCCCCATCCCCCTCCCGGGAAGGGGGGATTACGCAGACAGCGGCACAGCAACGCAATGACGTCATGCCAGTTGCTAGTTTTCATTTGGGGAGTTGTCCACTCGTTCGGCTTTCGGTAGCAATATCTTTTACCAGAATAGGGGGTTTGTTTTGGGGCGTCTACCTTTCTGGGTGTGAGACCCGGTTGATGGCAGACATAGAATGCTTCCAACCACACAGGGGTTTCTATAGACCATTGTTCCTAGTGCTTCTCCGAGGGGGCCAGGTTCTGCCTCGTGGTCCCCGGTAGGCAAGAACTCTATACACATTGACTGATGCCAGAAAGCTAGTATATACATATCAGCCTGGATAGCTCTGGGGCTCACCCCAGAAAACACACTTGTAAAGTGATGAAGTAGTCATAAAACATAATGAGGCTTGCAAAACTGTATAGTAAAAATGTAAAAAGTCTTTCTTTATTACCTGAAGACTGGTCGAGCATTGAACAACCTTTTCTTTAAGGCTAATACTGCAAAATCATGGCGCTGCTGAATATCCCAAAAGTGGCGGCATAAAAGATAACGGGGAAACCAGTACCTGAAAATTAAGAATTTAAGTGAATTACTGTTATAATACACTGATACAGTAAATACAGTAATATAGTGGGACTTCATCAAAGTCCTACAGAGGCTGAACATGGTCTATTCAATTCAAACTGTTCAACAGATTGGACCAATATTCATATCTAGGAGGGACTTCCCCCCCATCAGGTTCCAGACTCCACAAATGTCTGTGGAACCCAATAGAACATGGATGCACACCTGGTCAAGGGAAACAGCAAAGAAATCCAGCTCAAACATGGACAGAGGACAAGAAAAAGCCCTCAACCCTTAGTGAAGTACTATCCACCAATGGAATCAAAGGCCAGGAATGGTTGATGGGCATAAAGAGGCCCTCCATGGGCTGCCCCCCACAAGCCTGTGTTAAAGACGAGTGCTTGCTCTGTAGGTCAATGTTTAAGGTCACGGAGTTCCAATCAGTGGAGTTAGGTAAGGCCTGGCCCCCAGGGAAAACAATTCTCAGAAAAGTATGATCAGATAGACTTACATCTGGAGAGATCAACTACCCCACTACAGCAAGGACGATGGAAACTCCTGGTAAAACCCTTAATATATCATTTATTAACCCTAAACCCTCAAAGTATAATAAATACCTTACCACTTGATCTTACATTAATTCCCCGACTCCACATAAGCAGGAGATGAGGGATTACAACCAGCAAATTAGAGGTAAGTCTACTTTCCTTAAAGGCAGAACACAACACTTGATAACAAACACCAGATGTGGTCACACTAGGCCACCCCAGTAAGGCAAACACTTAGGGTCTCAAAACAGTGGCCTAGAGGACACAAGCAAATACTCTTAGAACATTTATGGCACAGTATCATATAGACATGTACTCAACTTGTTAGTTAAAGAATAAGAAGAGAGAAGAAAGGAAGGAGGTAAGAAAGATAAATAGCCGCACAGCCCCAAGACGTCCACCTCTCGCCGTCACCAGATAGAGAAGAAAACATCCTCCCATACGGTTGCTGTCTGCTCATAGAACTGACCGTAGGGTAACATTACTTATTCTTCCATACAAACATTTACTTGTTACTAATCAGTTCAACACATACCTAACATATAGCTTTATGCTACACTAACATTATTTATCACATAGTATACCAGCTCTGTGAGCCTCAAGTTTTGTCTAGCAGGGAAATGGGACCATTAACCAAGCAGAGGCTTCAAGAGGGCAGAGGCCCTCTTGAATAATTATAACTGCCAGAGCTTTCACACCTACAAAAAATCCCACATATAATCCCAAACATTCAAGGCCTATCACTAAAAATACTGAAGTGAATGGTCCTTAATTCATCTAAAACAAAAGCACCGCGATCCTGACTCTTATAGTGTATCAATTATGGAGCCAGGTTTGTAACACCCTGGAAGTACATATAAAGACTTTGGAGCAAAGCTGTTATCCATGCCTGATGCTTAAGACAGAAAGGCATTGTCCCACTGTTGGTTTATTAGGAATTGACAAACATTTCTTATAGAAGACAAATGTTTGTCAGTTCATTTCATGCTTTAAGTAGGCAGTTTACCTCCATGCCAGGCTAACCTCTAATTCTCAAGTGCTCTGCACCTTGTGTGGGGCCAAAGGGGAATTTGTCAAGGCCAAAGGTGGGTCAAGAGTTTCATAGGAGCCTGGAATGCCTCATTTGGTTCACCTCAATGGTGTTCCATAGTTGGGAACATAAAGCCTGTTAGGTTTATCAAGATCTTCTTAGGCCACCTACTAACCTTCCCTAGGATCCAACTTGCAATAGTTGCCCAAGTCACAGGTACCTATTTACTGCAAAGTAAACAGAGGGACCAGGTGAAAGCAAACTCTGCCCAAAATATGTCTGTCCTATTGTGAGAAACAAACCCAGGATCTCTCAGCTGTCACCCAACTGTGCTTACCACTAAACCAATCACATAAGCTAGGTTAGTTACCTAGGGGGCACAATCCCAAAAAATCATATTGTAATGATAAAAAATCTCTTGACTAAATATGAAATAAGTTTTGGAAATAAATTATACACAATTTATCTTGCAGAAGATGGAGCCAAAATTTTTACATTACTGTACTGTGTAAACAGGTTAAAGTCTTGACTTACCCAATAGGAAAAGCTATATTCTGTCCAAAGGGTATTGAAGATATGAGGAGAACAGGGAAAACCCTGATCATGTCTCTAGGCATGTAGTAGTAAAGTTCCAACTCATGATGGTTGAGTGTGCGTAAGGTGCAGCCTGGCAGGTTTAACTGTACCATCAGCTTGATGAAGTCTCTGTAAGTTAATTTTAGCAAATTTCAACAGTAGCTTTGAAAACATGAACTTAAAAGTAAAGCACCGAGTGTAATAAAAATCCAGCATTGAATGTAATTAAATGCTTCTTCAAGTGGGTCCCTCAGCAGCTCCCCAAGTTACCTACCGGGATTCAACAAGCATTTATACACCTACTTATGAACCGGTGCATCTTTTCTCAATCTTTGGCAGCTTTGTTTACATTTATTAAACAGTTTAAGAGTATCAAAACTTCCCAGTCAAATGTTGTTATTGTTATAAAAAGCCTTCTATTTCTTTAGAGTTCATAAACTGTTCAACCTTTGGTGGCTTTGTTTTTATATATTAAACAGTTTATGAGCTCTAAAGCAATAGAAGGTTTTTTATAACAATAACAATATTTGACTGGGAAGTTTCGATACTCGTAAACCGTTTAATAAATGTAAACAAAGCCACCAAAGATTGAGAAAGACGTACAGTATAGGCTCGTAACTACTTTATGAATCCAGGTCCTGGTGGCTTCCAAACCATAGGTACCACAGCAGGATCCAATAACTTACAAATTCTTACCAGAGACCAGGGTCAAAATCTGGCCACCCCCCAATAGAAACAAAGAGGAGACTGAGGATTCCTGATCACTGCAGTCCCCGTGGTGTAGTGGTTAACCCTTAAACTGCGCAATACATATATAGATGATTTCAGTAACAAAACCAAAACTGCACAATACATTAATAGCTGTTTTAGTGTTTAGCACCTTAATTTAAACGCCCCATGTGGGATAGGGGCAGCTATACAGTAGTGCAGCCACGACCGATAGTTGACAGACGCCACCTAGAAAAAAAATCGTGGCCAACATTCCTGCATGTGAGAGCATCAGTATTGAGCGAGCCACCATGGCTGACGCATGCAGCATGAGCACACAGCACTGCTGTTCAGCTTGTGACCACAGTATCGCCTAAAAATGTCAAAATATATATGTTCATGCTATTATTTAGCGATGATAGTATTACAGAAGACCCCTGACTGATAAAACTGACCAGGATTCTGATAATAGCAGGATTGTGGTGATATTTAGCACTGTGCTCCATGGAGGGAGGAGTAATGCTGTGGGAGGGAGGGTGGTGGCATCAACTTTTGACTGTGGCCACCTTTTATTGACTGCACTCACCATACCAGCTTAGTGGTTCGCTAATGTGAACACAAATGTAGATACTTATATATAACGTGTGTATAGAGTGTAATAACAGCAATAGGAGTAGGTTGGGAGGATTTACTGGGCGCAAATCAGTAACTGTAGCCTCTGTTTACCTCAACAGTAAAATGGGTACCTGGTTGTTAAACGACTTTTTGCGGGGTCATATTCCAGGGAACATAGGATTAAGGACATGCTAAAATGCTATGCATTTTAGACATGCCCAAAATGCTACGTATACTAGTGGCTGTACAAAAATGTAAGAACTCTTGTACAGGATATATAAATAAATAAAAAAAAAAAAATCACCATAGTACAAAAGAAAAACACAACAGAAAAGAAGAGCTCTCCAAAATAAGCAAAATCCAAAGATGCAACAACATAAGACCAGCCACCTGATTCGCATATAGATGGCAGTAAAACCGACTTACAAGGTGTTCACTCAAAGATAATTAGAGAGCCTTAAACCGTCAAGATAATTCTCCCCATCGATTCGCTGGAAAAGTCGGAGCACCAAATGATGAGCAGGTTTGGACACGAAGGCCAGAGGGCTAGAAACCAAGGCTTAGCTGGCCACCACAGTCCCCACGCTAACAAACATCTCCAGTTGGTCAAGTCTGGGAAGAAGCCGAGCCAGAGAGGAGAGATGAAAGAAATCACTGATTTCAATCCTAGCCAAAATATATACACAGTGAATGCCTTAAGATCCAGGAATGAGGCAACATACACCAGAATCCTCCAGTTCCTTGCTGAGGCAAATAGGTCCACCTGGGGATGACCAAACAGGCAAATCCAACACGAAGGCTGCGTCGTTGACCATCAATTTTCTCAAAATTTAATAAAAACAAGAGAGGCCATAAGAAACATTTCACAAACCCTGCATGTGAAATATGCAAAGAGCTAAGCCCAAAGAACCAAGAAGACAAAGATCTTGCAGCATAAACCAAACTGCTGCCAACTTGTGCACTGCCATGTGTGACCAGTGCAACTAAATAGGCCAATGACCTTGACTGACATGGTGACTGCTGGAAACAAACCAAAGCCAAGACCCAAGGAGTTCATGGACAGCTTGAGCAAAGAAGGGGAAAAAGATGCCAAGGAACTAAACCTAAAAAAGATGCAGCCAGGTGATCCAAGGACACCAACCAAGCCTCCGCCTCCAGGACCAGACGAATTTGTTTGAATGCAGTCAATTGAAAAGAAATCAAACAGACCAGAGAAAGAACCAAAGGTCCAATGAATCCCTTTAGGGAAGAATGGACAACTGGGACACCCACTTCTAAAAAGATGTCACCAAAACCACCTAATGTCCATCAAACCAGCAGAGATGTACATAGAAGTGAGTCAGCTGCAGAGCCCATACCTATTAAGTTAAAGGCCCCTTGCATCCAGGAAATGGGAGATCCAGGAAGAGTAAAGACTAATAGCTCCACCCTGTTGGCAAAGATGCAAGAAACAAAAGGCCGACACACATAAACCCACCGAGAACATCGTGAATGCTTTTGACAGGAGGAGGAAGCTGATGCTGAAGGCAGAACCTCCATCCCTGAAAATAGGAGAGATAAGGGTGTGGGAAAACTAACGAGAAGGCAATAAACACAAAACAACAAGCGTTGAATATAATGAAATGCCATTTACTGGGCGAGACCCGGAGGCTCCCCGGAGCTATCCAGGCTGATATGGATATATGAGCTTTCTGGCATTAGTCAATGTGCATGGAGTTCTTGCCTACCGGGGACCACAAGCAAGAACCTGGCCCCCTCAGAGAGGCACGAGGAGAAATGGCCTATGTGGTTGGGAGCATTCTATGTCTGTCATCGACCGGGTTTGGCACCCAGAAAGGTAGGCCCCTATTCTTGTTAAAATATTGCTACCGAAAGCCGAACGAATGGGCAGAACTCCCCAAACGAAAATTAGCAAACAAACATAACGTCATCACCTTGCCACGCTGCTGTCTGCCTCCCTTTTCTAGGTTTTTCTCAATCTCTTTCAATATCAATCTTGGCAGGAGTTGGGGAGGGAAAATTTATTTATTAATTTTTCTTTAACAACTGTGAATATAAGAATATTAGTAGTTACAGATTCTAATAATTGCATAAATCATTTACAATTCCACTTACTTGAAATCAAAAACAAATTTTCGAACTCCAACTGTGAAGATTCGAAACATGTTGAAGGTGTCAGGCATTTCATTTTCCAAAGATTGTTGGAAGTTCTTTAAGTACCAAGAATATCGTTTTAAGAAATAATTCTGAATTCGAGACGGAAGTTTTTCACTTACAGTGTTATCCATACTTATTTCTTTTTTAGTTTTTCTTGAGCTTTCTGAGGATTGAATGGATGCTGGGTCTATTGCTGCATCATCAGAGGAGGTAACATTCCTGGAGGAATTAACCTTCTCACTTTCCTTGTTTGTCACACCATTACTGTTTTTAGATACCATATTTTCTTCTGGGAAGTCATTAGGTTGCTTCTGGAAATTTAAATTACTTTTGCAATGAATGTTATATTTTGAGCAAATCATTGGGGTGTAGTTATTGCCTTCAATACTTATCTTTGGCAACCACGTACAAATAGTAGCAGAATCCTTTAATTTTGTCGTCAAATCCTGCTTCCTTATTTGAGTTTTTGACATGGGTTTCTTTACCTCTCTTGTGTTAAAGGATGCTACCCGTATTAGTGTGTTATAAGGATTCTGCCAAATTGCACCATCACATAACCACAGACACTTATGGTTCATCATTCTCCATGAGGTACATCTGAAAATAAAGGAATATGGTATGAGGACAAATTTGAGCTTGTGAAAAGGTACTTTCTGACAATGTTATTATGTCACTCCAGACGTTATACATTGTACAAGATACCTTCTTATTGGTTGTGTTATATGCACAAGTGAATTTACATATTTTTGGACAATACTTAAGTAGTCTAAGTAGTTTATTACTTTGTTAGAAAGTTAGCTGGTAGGTATAAAACATTTTTGAATTTATGTTTTGAATACTGTATTCAAAATGAGCTTAGCTCTCATACAGCCAAGCCAAAGCTAGTCACACTTGGCCTCTGAGACCCATCTTTGCCTACCCGAAACTAGGATCATAATCTGCTTCGTTCTATGAGATGAAGGGAGCTTGAGAATCGGAGATCAACTCAAAACCAAGAAAACAAACATCAGAAAACACAAGTGCACCAAAAAAATACAAAGCTTAAAGGAAATTAAGCGTGCCAGAGTAAATAATGCAAACAATCATTGCTACAGAGTAAACACTAACTGACATACTCAAGTGACACCAGATGACACCTGGGCTGTCAGCCCAGGCGCCTGACAGCTGAGTAAACAGCGTTTCGGATTCGTAGTCCTAAGGTTCCGGGTTCGATCCCTGGTGGAGGCGGAGACAAATAGTGTACACCACCAGGGGACATGCATACCCTCCTCAATCCACAAACCTAAAAACTCGATCGTATAGCCCAGAAAACGGAAACCCACAGCCCCAGAATGGGGAAAAAGGGATCCCATGGAGCCACCAAGGACCCACCAGAAAGAGGTATTTCATTACATTCAATGCTGGTTTTATGGGTGGACTCCTATGGTGGCTCCTTGTTACTATATAACCATAAAGAAAAACAAAAAAGATTATTCACCAGAGGTAGAGGAGAGCCACAGAAGTAACTACCTCATGAAAGGGGAGTCAGGGAAGATTGAATTGCCCATATGAATAATGAAAGTACTCAAATTAACAGTATTCAAGATACAGTAACATATCTTCCCAGTCCTGCCAGAAGGCGTCGGTCCCGACGGCCTCAGAGTCAGGGAAGGGCGCCACGTATACCGGGAGACCCCTTGACCACGCCGACGCGAAGAGGTCCACCTCCGGGGTCCCCAAACGTCCGGGAGAGCCAACTGAACAAGTCGGCGGCAACCGTTCATTCCGTGGGTGGAAAAGAGAATGAACCGAAACACCCCCCAAACGTGAACTGCCAGGAGAGCCAAACCCCTGAGAACTCGGCAAACGAGTCACCCGAAGCGACCAGCCCCAAAGAGCCAAGGACCCCAGAGAACCCCCGCTGTTCAGGCAATGAACCATGAGGGAACAGACCGAATGAGCCTGATCATCAATCCGCGAGCAACCCGAATCCTCCGGAGCAACTGCCACACAGCCGCGAACTCCCGCAACGTGCTGCGAGCCCGACAGAAGGGCTGACCCCAGCAACCCTGGCCAGCCTTGAGCACTGGTCACAAAGCCCCAGTCAAGAGACAACACGTCTGTGAACACATCGAGCGAGGGCTCGGGTAGGTGATAAGGCACTGAACCCAAAAAAATCCAAAGAGGAAGCCGCCAACCCAGCAACCGATGCAAAGCCCCCAAAGGCCGAACCCAGCAGTCGCAAGAGAGGCGGAAGGGATGTCCCCGAAGAAATAGGATAGCTGACTAAGCCACACCTGACTCGGCGGGTAGACCATCATGGCAAAGTTCAGGCTCCTGCACAAACCCTCGAGCAACCGCCATGTGACCCGGGAGCCCCACGAAAACAGGCGAAGGCGGGAATGCAGCGGAAGCAGAGCTGCCAGAGGGAGACAAGGAAGCGGTCCGAGCGTCCCACACAAGACCCAGCCAAGACCGAACCTTAGAGGGAACCAGATGGGTCTTCCGCCAGTTCACCAGGAACCAAAACCCGACGATCTGGGAAAGAACCAGATCCCAGGTGAGCAGACATGTGAACTGGCTGGGAGCCCACACCAGCCAGTCGTCGAGGTAGGCCAGACCCTGAACATCTAACAAAAGCAGGTGGGCCACTACAACCTGAGTAAGGCATGTGAAAATATGAGGAGCTAGATTCAAACCGAAGGGAAGGCAACGAAAGCGGTAACACTACCGACCCAGTCCCGGAACCTTGGATGAATCAGGACATGCCAGTACAAGTCCTTGAGGTCCAGGGACACCATTCAAGCATCTGGCTCTAACAGAAGACAAACCTAGGTCAGAGACGTCATCTAAAAGGAGGGCCTATTAACACAGGTTTCGACAGGACAAGTCCAGAATGAACCCGAGTTTTGCGCAGTCCCTCGTCGGAATTAGAAACAAGCAAGAACCCACCTGAGGGACGAGATCGTTTCAAACACGCCCAAGCGAACCCATTCTGAGGAGGGGTTGAGGCCCCCAAGTCAACCCCTCCTCTGCCCCGGGAACCTCACCCCAAGGACCCGGGATTGAGCTGTCCTCTAAAACCCCCCCGCCTCTAGAGAAAAGGCAGGAGCTGCTGAAAAAGCAGGAATGGAGGGGGCCCACTGGTCAGACCCAGAAGCTCCAGCTGGAGAACCAGGCTCAAATACCTCTGCGGCCATCCCAGAAGGGGACTTCCCCGAAACTGCCAGTCTCAACACCAACTAGACCCTGTCCCAACTCCGAAACCCTCAGACGTTTCGGAGCCAGAAGCAAGGGCAAAGGAACTGGACGCACGACCCAAGGGGAAGGACAAGGAGGGGCAGATGGAACCAAAGTCGAAGCGACTCCCACCCCAAAGTCCAGAGCCGTATAACCAAAACGGGGCACTTTTGCAGCATCCAGTGAAGCAAGTAACCAATTGTGTTGCAGCAACCTAAAACCTAGCATGCAATGCCGCAGCTGCCTGCACCCTCATATCATGATCAGAAGCTTGGGTGAACTGGAGAACGTACAAACAATAAACGTCACACAACTCCTGGTCAAAAGAATCACTGACCTGACAGGCAGCACGATAGAGGCACAACCTGTAACTGGTACCCCGAGACAAGGGGACAGAGCAACCATCCGACTTCCACGAAGCGAGAGGGTACTCAGGGGTCGCATCCATCAAACCACAGAGCCCCCGTGGGGTTTCCCAGGACTGTTAGTCATGGTAGTCCACTCAGGGAAAGCCCAGGCAGAGCACAGCCAGTCAGCACCCAAAACTACCAAGCAAAGTGCTAAAAGCTGCACCTCCAGGATGTGTCCACTCACAGGGTACCACCAAGACAATGACCTAATGGGGGTACCACCAAGACAATGGTAACAACCTAACACAAGGGGAAGACCCCTCACCCCCATCAGGCAGAGAAAACAAAAAGAAAATAAAAACCCCGCAAGAGGACAATGCGCTCAGGCGGTACAGAGCCAGCCACTATGACAGGTTACAACTAGCTGCACTGTACCCTGCACCCCAACTAGTGATGAAAACTACCCCCTACCCAGAGGCAAACAAGGAAACAAAATCCCCAGCTGACTCCAAAGGCGGTCAATCACCGAACAGTAAGTGAACCGCGGAAGTAGACCCCAAGGAGACTTGTGGAAAGGCAGTACTTACAGGGCACCTAGGGAAGAAAACCCTAGGCACATGCAGCCCGAGTACTGAAGAATATTACTCCTGGCTTGCACACCGACCGTAAAGACAGGACCATGCCACAAGGAACAGAAACCGAGACAAATTCTGCAGCCAGAGGCACACGACTTTGCCAGTATCACATCAGCCAAGAACTGAAGGGTGGATTGCCAGCGCAAGGGTCTGGGGCTCCCCCTTCCCTCTCTCGGGGAGGAGGGAGGGGGAGAGGGTTGCGCAGCAACCGCAGTGGTGCAGCAACGTGATAATGTCATGCTAGTTTGCTAATTTTCCTCTGGGGAGTAGCCTCGTAGCCTGGTGGATAGCCTCGGGGCCTCGGTAGCCTCGGGGCCTCGTAGCCTGGTGGATAGCGCGCAAGATTCGTAATTCTGTGGCGCGGGTTCGATTCCCGCACGAGGCAGAAACAAATGGGCAAAAGTTTCTTTCACCCTGAATGCCCCTGTTACCTAGCAGTAAATAGGTACCTGGGAGTTAGTCAGCTGTCACGGGCTGCTTCCTGGGGTGTGTGTGTGTGTGTGTGTGGTGTGTGGGGGGAAAAAAAAAAAAAAAAAAAAAAAAAAGTAGTTAGTAAACAGTTGATTGTCAGTTGAGAGGCGGGCCGAAAGAGCAAAAAGCTCAACCCCCGTAAAAACACAACTAGTAAACACCACACGGGGATTTCTGGAGATCATTGCTCCTCGTGCCTCTCTGAGGGAGACAGGTTCTGGCTCATGATCCCCAGTAGGCCCGAACTCTATGCACTTTGACTGATGCTAGAAAGCTAATATAAAAGCTATCCAGGCTGATATCCATATCAGCCTGGATAGCTCCAGGGAGCTGACAGGACTCCCCCCAGAAAGTACTATGAAGATGGAATATCACAAGCAAAACTCTCATCCTGTAACTACACAGCTAAATACTACAGCATCCCATTGACAGGTCCTGCAGGGATGACACAGTCCCATGCATTGCCAGGAGGGAAGACAACTTCAGGGCTATAGTTATTCACCCCACAGCAATCTATCTTCATATTTATTTATTTCATGTTGTTGTTTTATTTTGTTTTGACTGAACTTCTGATCAGTTTTCCTTAGTTGGGGCTAGATCTCAGACTTCCAAGCTCCACTCACTTCATAGAAAACACCAGGTTCTAGAATTGGTCTTGTCATAGGTCACTGTGACAAGATCACAGGTCAAAAACCAGACATGATCCTTAGGCTAATGGCACCAGCACACAAGCACTGGGGAGCTGCTGAGGGATTCTTATATATATATATATATATATATATATATATATATATATATATATATATATATATGTGAGAAAGCTGCATGAACGCGCAAGCCATAGATCACTAAGAACTCTTTGACCCAGTATAGGTTCGAATCCTGGCCGGGTCAAAGAGTTCTTAGTGTTATGTTATGTTATGTTATGTTATGTTATATGTTTATATATTATATATATATATATATATATATATATATATATATATATATATGTTTATATATATATATATATATATATATATATATATATGTTTATATATTATATATATATATATATATAAATATTAAAACTATATTTAATTATTAAATTTTAAGACTAACATCACACACTTGGTACCAATAACTTGCTTTCAAACAACCATAGCATATAACCAACATTAGACCCAATTAAATTGATTAATGGTCTTATCTTTCATCTCACTTCCAATCCTCATTATATTATCACTTTAAAGAACTGCAAGTGTACTGCACTTAAGAATTTTAAGAGGAAATTTTAAAGTTTGCAAAATTCAAACCATATTTCAATGTAAGTGAATGGCAGTGTTGAAATTAAGGCAGGCAGCAAATGGGGATGTGATATTGGCAAGAATTTCTGAAATTTCAATTTGACAAGTTTAATAATACATCACTGCTTTGGACTAACATTTTACCTTCTACTATTTTCTTTATTTACCTATGGAGAGGTGGCATTAAGCGAACGATGCCATAACTGGCACTCATCATTGTCCTGGTTTTATTTAATAGCAGCTGATTTATGAAGTGAGGGTGTGCTTCAGGATCTTGAAGTCTGCTGATCTACTGAGTGTCGTTTGTGTAGCTGGTTTGCCAAGAGTGACACTGGCCACCAGTCCAGGTAGTGGTGAATGCTTTAAGCTGGAACGTGGTCAGTGCAGGAAGCTGGTCCACTAAGGGGTAGTGCTGTATGCTGGTCCACCGAGGGGGTAGTGCTGTAAGCTGGTCCACCGAGGGGGTAGTGCTGTAAGCTGGTCCACCGAGGGGGTAGTGCTGTAAGCTGGTCCACCGAGGGGGTAGTGCTGTAAGCTGGTCCACCGAGGGGGTAGTGCTGTAAGCTGGTCCACCGAGGGGGTAGTGCTGTAAGCTGGTCCACCGAGGGGGTAGTGCTGTAAGCTGGTCCACCGAGGGGGTAGTGCTGTAAGCTGGTCCACCGAGGGGGTAGTGCTGTAAGCTGGTCCAACGAGGGGGTAGTGCTGTAAGCTGGTCCACCGAGGGGGGTAGTGCTGTAAGCTGGTCCACCGAGGGGTAGTGCTGTAAGCTGGTCCACCGAGGGATAGTGCTGTAAGCTGGTCCACCGAGGGATAGTGCTGTAAGCTGGTCCACCGAGGGGTAGTGCTGTAAGCTGCTGGTCCACCAAGGGGTAGTGCAGCAAGCTGGTCCACGGAGGGGTAGTGCTGCAAGTTGGTCCACGGAGGGGTAGTGCTGCAAGCTGGTCCACAGAGGAGTAGTGCTGTAAGCTGCTGGTCCACCAAGGGGTAGTGCTGTAAGCTGCTGGTCCACCGAGGGGTAGTGCTGTAAGCTGCTGGTCCACTGAGGGGTAGTGTTGTAAGCTGGTCCACCGAGGGGTAGTGTTGTAAGCTGGTCCACCGAGGGGTAATGCTGTAAGCTGGTCCACCGAGGGGTAGTGCTGTAAGCTGGTCCACCGAGGGGTAATGCTGTAAGCTGGTCCACCGAGGGGTAATGCTGTAAGCTGGTCCACCGAGGGGTAATGCTGTAAGCTGGTCCACCAGGGTAGTGCCAGACACTAGTCCACCAAGGGCAGTATTGGACGCTGGCCCACTGAGGGTGTTGCTGGACTCTGATTCACTGAGAGTAGTAAGTCGTTCGCCCAGCTTTGAGGCTTAACCAGGAGTAACGTTGTTATTGGGTTAGGGGCAGCTACAGCACAGGGCCATATGTGCCTTGTCATTCTCGTATTGGGAAAAACTAAGCCTGGAGGCTATACACTGTGTCAACAAAAAAATTACTGCACCTTGCAGCAGATAAACACTGTTTGGCTGACACTTGGTTACCCCTGGCATCCCCCTGGAAAATGAGTGCCAGACTCCATCCTGTCATAGAGAACCAACTGGGAGACCATCAACAGACACCTAGTGATCCCAGACGATATGTGTCAGGCGTCCTGTGAACTCTGGGTAGCCGAACAAACTCAAAGTCTAAAGGCAAAATCCCGAAAGCCCAACTGAAACTAAACCCTGTCAGGCAAAAATGAAGCAATATCTTCCAGTGACCTCTGGAAGAATAAGAGCCATATACAAACTACGTCCCAAGAGTACACCAAGAGCCCACGAAGGCCCGAACCTCTCGGCCAAGCCGGCACTGGACACCGTCTCCACGCCCTGAAGAGCCAACCGAAAAACGGGAAAACAAATTCTATCAACTTCCCTGCGACCCCAAACACTAATGGTGCCAAACGTTCCGTTGGGTGGCGGTTCCTAGGGAGACCAGGTGTTAAGACGTCCGTTTGGTGTCCAGGTTGAACCACGAGTCGAACCAGGAGCAGCCAACACTGTTATTGTTGATGCACATCAGCTGTTGCTTCGTTTGTTTACCAACCTTAACACGGTCTTACTAAATGGTCATAAGTGACCACACAAATATATATATTCAGTACATATATTATTTATACATGCATATATATAATATATATAATATATATAATATATATATAATATATATACGTATATATATTATATATTTTATAAAAATTACTGAAGTTCCTTAAAGGGAGCAGAAACAGGGGCGGTCGAGATAAAGCGACACAGCCTAATATGGTCATACCAGGCAGTCGTCCCCAGTCTCTTACTGCGGTAATATAAGGTGTGCCTCCAGGTACCACTGTTCCCGCCTTCAAGCACCAGTGCCAGCCTCCAGGTACTATTTTCCCACCTTCAGGCACAACTGGAGGTGTCTGACGGCACGAAGGGGGGGGCCTGACGGCTGAGTGGACAGCGCTCGGGGTTCGTAGTCCTTAAGGATCGGGTTCGATCTCCGGCGGAGGCGGAAACAAATGGGCTGAGTTTCTTTCACCCTGGTGCTCTGTTTACCTAGCAGTAAATTGGTACCTGGGAATTAGACAGCTGCTACGGGCTGCTTCCTGGGGATGTGTGTGTGTGAAAATTAGGATTAAGGACCTGCCCGAAATGCTACGTGTGCTAGTGGCTGTACAAGAATGTAAGAACTCTTTGTATATATAAATAAATAAAATATATATATATATATATATATATATATATATATATATATATATATATATATATATATATATATATATATATATAATATATATATATATATATATATACAACTTTAGTTTACACACACAACTTTTTTTTTTTTTGAGATATATACAAGAGTTGTTACATTCTTGTACAGCCACTAGTATGCGTAGCGTTTCGGGCAGGTCCCTGGAATACGATCCCCACTGCAAAGAATCGTTTTTACAACCAAGTACCCATATTACTGGTGAGTTAAACAGAGGCTACAGTTAAGGATTTGCACCCAGTAAATCCTCCCCGGCCAGGACACGAACCCAGGACAAAGCGCTCGCAGAACGCCAGGCGAGTGTCTTACCACTACACCACTGAGACTGTTTACGATTTGTACACTGTAACCTGTAAACACACATCCATACTTATACTCGCATTTGGGTGAGGTGATATGATAAAAAAGTTTTGGGTGAAGTGATTGACATTTACACAAGATAAAACACAAACCAATGGGTATAAAAACATAAGAATGGAAGTAACTGCAGAAGGTCTATTGGCCCATAGCATCAACATTTCCTCTTGATGCTTCTATATTGGTTCAGAGTCTTGAAGTGGGTAGAATATAGTTGTGCATTAATTGCCTATATACTGAGTTCTTTGGGGCTTACAGTCCCCAAATGGACATTCGAAGGCATAGACGACGTTGGTTTCCTTCAAGGCGTTATTCTTGGTGTCTGGAGAGTTCTTCATGAGTAGGATGGCCGTTTTTTTGGTTTTATAGTTAATCGTTAATTTTATTTTCTGATTTTTGTCTGTAGGGATAACGTTCCTATCAACAATATCTTTCATGTCCCTTTCCTCCATTTTATGAGCCGTCGAAAAGAAGTTCCTGTAAAATAGTCTAATATGGGGTACATGTGTTGTGTTAGTTGACTCTTCAGAGGTTGCATGGCATTTCACTTTTCTTTTTATGATGTCTTCAACAAAACCACTAGAGAAGCCGTTGTTGACTAGGACCTGCCTTACCCTATAGAGTTCTTCATCGACTTGCTTCCACCCTGAGCTGTACTCACCTAATTGTACTCACCTAATTGTGCTTGCGGGGGCTGAGCTTTGGCTCTTTGGTCCCGCCTCTCAACTGTCAATCAACTTGTGTACAGATTCCTGAGCCTACTGGGCTCTATCATATCTACATTTGAAACTGTATATGGAGTCAGCCTCCACCACATCACTTCCTAGTGCATTCCATTTATTAACTACTCTGACACTGAAAAAATTCTTTCTAACGTCTCTGTTATCTTGAGATTCTTGAGATGATTTCGGGGCTTTTTTAGTGTCCCCGCGGCCCGGTCCTCGACCAGGCCTCCACCCCCCAGGAAGCATCCCGTGACAGCTGACTAACACCTAGGTACCTATTTTACTGCTAGGTAACAGGGGCATTCAGGGTGAAAGAAACTCTGCCCAATGTTTCTCGCCGGCGCCTGGGATCGAACCCAGGACCACAGGATCACAAGTCCAGCGTGCTGTCCGCTCGGCCGACCGGCTGTGGCTCATCTGGGTACTAAATTTCCACCTGTATCCCCTTGTTCGTGTACCATCCATGCTGAAGAGTTTGTCTTTGTCCACCCTGTCAATTCCCCCTGAGAATTTTGTAGGTGGTTATCATGTCTCCCCTTACTCTTCTGTTTTCCAGGGATGTGAGGTTCAGCTCCTTTAGCCTTTCCTCATAGCTCATTCCTCTCAGTTCCGGGACGAGCCTGGTGGAATACCGCTGAATCTTCTCTAACTTTGTCTTGTGTTTAACTAGGTATGGACTCCAGGCTGGAGCTGCATACTCCAGGATTGGTCTTATATAAGTGGTATACAGGGTCCTAAACGATTCTTTACACACGTTTCTAAAGGCAGTTCTTATGTTGGCCAGTCTAGCATATGCCGCTGATGATATTCTTTTGATGTGGGCCTCTGGGGACAGGTTCGGTGTGATATCAACCCCCAGATCTTTCTCTCTATTTGACTCTTGCAGGATTTGACCTCCCAGATGATACCTTGTGTTCAGCTTCCTGCTCCCTTTGCCTAATTTCATTACCTTACACTTTCCTGAGTTGAACTTTAGCAGCCATTTTCTAGACCATTCCTCCAGTTTGTCCAGGTCATCCTGTAGTCTCTGTCTATCTTCATCCGTCTTGATTCTTCTCATAATTTTTGCATCATCAGCAAACATGTGACTGAGAGCACGGTTGACGTAAGCGTTGACAACACTCCTCTTGTACCTGTCTGGGCAGTCACTATTGGCATTGAGGCACATTCCTATGTTTGTGTCCTTAGTGTAGACTGCAGTGTGGAAGCCTCCTCTCCTTTCCGTGACTGTTACGTCTAAAAAGGGCAGCTTCCCATCCTTCTCCATCTCGTAAGTGAAACTCAACACAAAATTCCGCTTAAATGCCTCCTTCAGCTCCTGCAGACGTCTGGCATCAGGTATCTGCATAAAAATGTTGTCAACATACCTGCAGTATATGGCGGGTTTCAAGTCCATGTCAACCAAGATCTTCTGCTCGAGGGTACCCATGTAGAAGTTTACAAACAGGACACCTAGGGGAGAACCCATGACAACCCCATCTACTTGCTTATACATGTGCCCATCTGGGCTCAAGAAGGGTGCCTCTTTAGTGCAAGCTTGGAGTAGTTTCCTAAGTATGTTTTCTGGAATGTCAAGAGGAGTACAAACCGGATCACAATATATTCTGTCCGCTATCATCCCGATTGTTTCATCCACAGGTACGTTGGTAAACAGTAATTCTACATCCAATGAGGTTCTTATCCCTGTGGCTCTTATCCCAATTGTATATATATATATATACATATATATATGTATATATTATTAAATATGACCGAAAAGGTAAGATTAATAATTCTAACACGAATTTTCTCAATCTTTCGTACATTTCTTTTCACTTTTGGAGGTAATTCAAAAATCAATTCTCCAAAATTCATTTTTAATTCATATTCTGAGGAAACTACTCCAAGTTTGTACTAAAGAGGCACCCTTCTTGAGCCCGGATGGGCACATGTATAAGCAAGTAGATGGGGTCGCCATGGGTTCTCCCCTAGGTGTCCTGTTTGCAAACTTCTACATGGGTACCATCGAGCAAAAAGTCTTAGTCAACATGAACTTGAAACCGGCCATATACTGCAGGTATGTTGACGACATTTTTACACAGGTACCTGATGTCAGACACCTGCAGGAGCTGAAGGAGGCATTTGAGCAGAGTTCCGTGCTGCGTTTCACTTACGAGATGGAAAAGGATGGGAAGCTGCCCTTTCTAGATGTAACAGTCATGGAAAAGGGCGGAGGTTTCCACACTGCAGTCTACACTAAGGAAACAAACATAGGAATGTGCCTAAATGCCAACAGCGACTGCCCAGACAGGTACAAGAGGAGTGTTGTTAACGCATATGTCGACCGTGCTCTCAGCCACAGCTCAGAATGGAAGCAAGTCGACGAAGAACTCTGTAGGGTAAGGCAGGTCCTAGTCAATAACGGCTTCTCCAATGGTTTCGTCGAAGACATCATAAGAAGGAAAGTGAAAAGCCATGCAACCTCTGAAGAGACAACTAACACAACACCTATACCCCCTATTAGACTATTTTACAGGAACTTCTTTTCCACAGCTCATAAAACGGAGGAAAGGGTCCTGAAAGATATTGTTAATAGAAACGTTATCCCTACAGACAAAAATCAGAGGATACAACTGACGATTTACTATAAAACCAGAAAAACGGCCAGCCTACTCATGAGAAACTCTCCAGACACAAAACAGAACGCTTTAAAAAAGACTAACGTCGTCTATGCCTTCAAATGCCCTCTTGGGGACTGTAAGCTCCAAAAAACCCAGTATATAGGCAAGACAACAACATCTCTTTCTAGACGTTTAACGATGCATAAGCAACAGGGCTCCATTAAGGAACATATAATTTCTTCCCACAACCAAACCATCGCCAGAGAAATCCTAGTAAACAACACAGAAATCATCGATAGATACAGCGATAGCAGGCGGCTTGACGTTTGCGAGGCACTACACATCAAGAAGTCAACACCAGCAATCAACAGCCAATTATTGCACAACTATATTCTACCCACCTCAAGACTCCGCTCCAATATAGAAGCATCAAGAAATATGGACCAATAGGCTTTCTACAAACACTTCTATTCAATATCCATTGTTTCGTGTTCTGTCTTGTGTTGATGAAATTAATACCCTATTAATACTCTTGTTCTGTCTTGTGTTGATGAAATTAATACCCTATTAATGCCACATCTTGTTCTGTCTTGTGTTAATGCCACATCACCCCTTCCACCTCACTCAAATGTAGATATAAAATCGGAGATGCGTAAGTTCTATTCAGTTGTGTATTTGTGAACTAAAGTCTTTGAAAATGTAATAAGTTTTACGAAACGCACTCGTGTCGCGTCAGACTAGAAATAAAAATGAATTTTGGAGAATTAATTTTTGATTTACCTCCAACAGTGAAAAGAAATGTACGAAAGATTGAGAAAATTCGTGTTAGAATTATTAATCTTACTTTTTCGGTCATATTTAATAATATATGTCTACAGGAAAGACTGCTACCAAAATATACTAATATGTATATATATATACATATATA